TGTCGTTTCCTTTTAATCTCTCTTCAAAGACAAACTATGGAACAAAAATTGTCCCAAAGTTGAAAATTTTTTAATCCTTTGAAATTTGAAAAAAGTAGCTCCAAAGTCCAAAGAATCCAACAAGCAGACTACAAGAGAGACTTTTCAATATTACTAGTTGAGATGCACGTGTAATGCACGTGGTTAAATATCATGATTACTTAAATTGATAAAATAGAATAAAAATAAGAAAAAGAAAATAAAGTTTTTCGTGGGATTGATTGTCAACTCAATAATCTCTCTCTCAAATGAAATATTGTTATTATTTTCTTCAACCTAGACTGTGATCACGTGATCTACTATTTTTGAGTTATAAATACATTAATCTAGTACAACATCTCTATTTATTAGTATATTAAAGTCTTCAAAAAATGGGTGATCATTCAATTCGTAAAGGAATTTTGCATATGAAGTTACTTGCAATATGTCCATTAAACTTTTAGTTATGATTTGACTCATATTCACATTAACTTGTAGTTGTAGTTTTACTCATATTTACATTATCTAATGTTCTTATTTAATTTTATAGCTCATTCTTCGTACCATAGAAGTAAAATTGAAAGTATAAAGAACTATTTTCTTGCAAAATTAGAGCATGAAGATTATGATATATTTCGCCATGTGCTCTAAATATAAATTTGTTTTTCTTTGATGAAAGATCCTTATCAAATCTTTCCCCAAACAATGTGCATGAAAAATACTATTATAAATCACTTGCCTAGGCCAGTTGTCTTATATATATGACATATAACTCATCTAGAATATCCGCATCTGCTAATTAGATTTTTCTATCATGAAAGCAAAATGTTAGAGGCTTGCATTCAAACTTTTTAGCTTTGTAAAAGACACAAGAATTTGGAGTGCACAGCTTATATATCGTAAAGAACATACGGGTTCATGAAGAATTTTTCCTAATAACAATATTATTACAACGATATCACTATTCAGTATTAAATCAATTTTATTATATAAGATTACATAACCCTTTTTAATGAATTATAAAGTATATATATGAAAGCCTCAATGCTTATAGCTAGTAGTTGGGCTCTATAAAATAGATTAACTTTACATTATAGTTTGCTAATGGTAGTACTATTGGCAAAGTCGTTATATTTCATCTTTATCTTATTATTCACATTTTTCTAATGTAAGTTTTCTTTTGCTAATCATTCAATTGGCTACATTTAGTTTTTATAATATCAGAATTTAGAATATTCTCTTCTGTTTAAAAAGTGTTGATATGATTTTCTTAAAAAATATATACACATAGTAGCAATAGTACATATACTTTAGTTCAACTCAAACATTAGCTTGAAGCCATTTAGAGTGAAGTCCTTTTTATGCTAGAATAGTGATATAGTGATTACACAATTCAAAAGTCAAAGAAGAAATTTCTGTAAAGGAAAAGTACTTAAAATATCAAATTAACAACTAATTTATAAAGAATACATGGGCACTGCAGATAGGTATAGAAAGTAAGGTAGATATCTTCATGAATATTCCATAGTGAGTGACCCACTACAATCACCCTAATTTAAGCATAAATAATTATTATTTTAGTTACTAATTTGATGCACGTAACTATGGAATAAATCTCAAGCAAAAAATAGAAACTGAGATTGTATTATATTGTAGGTAAATAAATAAATATTATTAGAGCTCCTCTTTATATTAAACTTAAAAATAATAATTTAAATTATTAAGCGTCAAATATTAGTTCATGTGAGAAAGTAAAATAATCTATGGTCTGTATACATATACAGCTAATTAATCAAACCTATTAAAATTATGATGATCACAGTCAAAATTATATGGTGAGTTCATATTAACTATAATTTATAAAATATAGTACATTAAAGACAAATTCTTTTAGCCACTATATAGATTGTCTGAAAATTTTTACATATATAAACTATACTACGTAGGAATAGTGATGTATGTACTTAACTATGATATAATAATCTTAAGAATGACTTACACTTCAATATCATCATTAATTGACGTATCTATGCATTACACTGAAAATACAATGAAAATTTAGAAAACTACAAGAGAAAAAACCTCAAAAGTTTTATAAATTGTAAAAAAACACCCTAAATTTTTGTAATTTATAAATACACAAAACTTTTAAATATTACATTGAAATCAAGGAATTATAAAAAATTATTGAAAATTTTAAACTTTGGAGGGGTAATTTGTAATGTACTAAACTTTAAGGGTGTTTTTTTTATAAATTTCATAACTTAATATATTTTTAATTAGTTATGTTATTTTCAAAAATATTATGGGTAATATTGACCATGAAATGTTTTTCCTAAACCTATATTTTTAAAGGGAGTATGATAATTTTTTGTAAATTTTTAATTTTCTAGGGGTTGTTAGTAATTTTATATATTCATTTTAGTGTCTATAGGTTAGAAATTCTTATGGTGTTTTTTTGCAAATTATGAATTTTAAGGGATTTTTGCAATTTTTTAAACTTATACGCCTTTTCTACAGGTTGTAAATTGTTTATAGACTATTTATAATTCTTATGTTTTCAATTTACTAATGAGTTTGCTCAATGCTTTTTTTATAAAATTTGAATTTTGAGGGGTTGATTATAATTTTTGAAACTTTAAGGGTGTTTTCTTAAATTATAAATTACATAAGGGATATTTATAATTTTTATATTTTTAATGTACTGTTAAGTTGAAAATTATCAGGATTTTTATAAACTTTTCAATTTTGAGGGTTTTATTTTATAATTTGTAAAAAGTTTAGAGTGTTTATTGTAAATTCCATAAATTTTGGGGTTTTTTGTGTTATTTTCTAGTTTTTAATGTGTTTATATGTTTGAAATATTCAAGGTTTTTTTATAAATTTTAAAATTTTAGGGGTGTTTTTGTAATTTTATAACTTACAAGATATTTTTCTCCAAAGTTTAAAAACATTCAATTGCTAGCTAGCATATGTTTTTCAGGTTTCTTACTAAATTAAAATAAGTAAAATTTATAATTTTAAGATGTTTTAATAAAATTTTGAATTTGTAGGGGTGTTTCTGTAATTTAAAAAATTTGGAGGATATTTTTTACAAAGATTAAAAACTTTTAGGTACTGGCTAGTACATATTTTTTAGATTTCTTTGCGAATTGAAATAAGTAAAGGATTTGAATTATATCAAACATATATCATTTATCCAATAACATGTTAAGTCTCATTATGAATAAGATAAATCATTTAATTACCAATTCAAAGAAGATAGGATAATTAGAATAGATTATGATAATAATGTAATATTCTAAAAAATCTAAGGGTAATATTGACCATGAAAAGATTTTCCCGAACTCGTACTTTTAAAGGGAGTAAGTATATGATTCACCTAGATCTTTCATATTTTAAAATTAGTATCCTAAATCTTGCTATTTAAAATTAGTCTCCCAAAGCTTTGCCTTTTGTTAAGAAGTTAAAGGAGAAGGGGTAAGAAGAATGACTTACTTAATTCTTCATGAGAGGTTAAAAATTATTTAATTCCATTTAGATTTAATAGTCAAGATGAATTAATGGTTAAATTTTTTATATTTAGCCAAAAAAGGGGGTAAGGAGGTTAATTATCATAAATATCCTAAAATATATTCTCTTTTAAAGTTTTATTTCTTACTTTCAGAGAGAGTAATTTTTAGTCCTCTTCCTTAGGTGGATTTGTTAACTGTTCTAAATGAAGAGTTAACTAACTTTAATCCTTATAAGTGATTTGTTTGCCTTTTGACCAAGTAAACCCGTTTTGATGGTTAAAGAGGGGTTACACTCCCTTAATTCTTCTCTTAACCTCTTGCCAAACAGAGCCATAGTATTTTAACATTAGTTCCCCAAATGTTTTAAATATTTTGAAATTATTTCTTTTGGTTAAAAGCTGGTTGTCAGATTAGGGAGACCAATTTCAAAATACTTAAAAGGTCTGGGGGATTAATTTCACAATAGGAAGATCTGGGGACATATCAAGATTTAGGGGATTAATTAATATAGAGAAAAACCAATTACAAAACTAACTCGGGTCAGGGTTGTCAAATAGATGGTTTTGAGTCAGTCATAAATGGGGGCACATTTGTTCCTATTTGCCCATCTATGACCCATTTAGTATTTGCTAAATGAGTTACTGTTTACTCACCCATTTATTAAATACTAGTTGGATTGCACGTGCAATGCACGTGGTAAATTTTTATTTTTTTGTTTAAAATTTATAAGTTTATTTATAATGTTTTGTTATAAAATTATGTAATGTAAGTAATGGATAAAACATATATACATAATCTAAACATTCAACATTTGAACAATCAAATTACATTTATTGATTGATTGGGCGATAATACACTGGTTGCATCTATAATTATCGTGAATACATCAATTTTATTACTCATTGCAATATTTATTACATAATATTTGTTAACATGAATTGGTTGATAGATTGTCATGGATATTTAACACCAAGATAGTTTAAAAACTAAGTTATGATATAGGATCTAGACCATTTTTAAGTAATCAGTCTTTTTATTGCACAATTGTCAATATTAAGAACTAAAATGTTATTGACATGAGAGTAAATTATGGCTACATAAAACATAGAATACCCAATTAAAACAACTAACAAAATATATTTGCATCTCATTGCACTTTTATTGTAAGTTTGCATTAATATATCATTTGATAATATCTATTTGCATCTCATTGCACTTTTATTGTAAGTTTGCATTAATATATCATTTGATAATATCTTGCAAAGTTACTTGCAGAATAGACGCACTTTTATTGTAAGTTTGCATTAATATATCATTTGATAATATCTTGCAAAGTTACTTGCAGAATAGACATCCTTCTTGCTATTGCAATAGAATGTCAATCTCATATTTGAAATTACTATATATGAAGTAAATTAGAAATTTTCTACGGATTGTATTGAACATTTCCAGCAAGGCCAAAAACAGGGGAAAAAATTATCCAATGCAACTTCTGGAAGCATATTTTTTCACAATCATCCAACATATGCAAACAATATCCTATCAGACAAATAAATTTTTCTCATTCTTATCTAGTTGCATCAAATGCACCAGTTTGTCAACACCTTCTGTTGTTATTAGCGACCCTTTTTCTGCTATTTTTACAATCTCAGATTTTGCCATTTTGTTGAGTCTAGAACTGTCAGATTCACCATCCTCCAGCTTAGTAGGACCTTCTCGCTTAATAGGTTTTGTTCCCTCATCACCCCTCTCTTCCTCTTCTTTTCCTTAACCTGTGCAGGGAAGGAAATGCTACTATTCTGCCGACTCTGAGTATCTAATTTTAACTTCTGAGTTGATGTTGGACCATTCAATGGTTTTGGAGAACAATCTCCTGATTGCACTGCTGCATGCATTTCTAGTCGGGTCTTGTCCAATAAATGATCTACTTCTTCATGTTGCTCCTGAGAAATTAAAGGATAGACAAGGAAAAATTGTGTTTTGTGAATATAATCTTAATAAAGCAACAGGTACTGCAACCACTCAAAAAAAAAACTCACGTTGATATAATACTTGTATGTTAACCACCATAAACACTTGTTTGCAATGTCATACACTCGCCTACACACAAATGATGACAACCCTGGTGGAATTTCAACACCCCTGCAGAGGAAAGCAACTTTACACGGATGAAGCAATGAAGCTGGGCAGGAAATGCAACAAAAGAACTCAGGATAAATGCTAATCTTCATCATCATCTGCAAACAAAGAAAAGTTTATGCATGATTAGAACCAAAATCATATAAAAAATTAATTATATTGTTGAACAAATAGAATTATACTAAATTGTAAATTTAACAATATATGAAACTTGCAGCAAATCAACTTGACTATAAGAAAACAATTTCAGACGGTGAATACTTATCACAACTCTTAACAATGTTATTTCTAAAACCACTATCCTTCAGTCAAGGGGGCTAAAATTGTTACTGATAGGAGCACTGGCCACTCCAGAGGTTATGGTTTTGTTAGGTTTGGAGATTTAAATGAACAGACACGTGCTATGTCTGAAATGAATGGAATGTACTGTTCTTCAAGTCCAATGAGGATTGGCCCAGCTACAACCAAGTCTCAGCAAACTCCGACTAAAGGTAAGGAAACACATTGGAGGGTCTTCATATTAGTCTGACTTTCCATGTTATTTCATTGTATTTCATTTAATTTCCTGCTTTGTTTGGTTCATTGCTGAATCATGTGTCAGCCATGCTTGGCTTATCTGTGCATCCTCAAGTTACTATTGTCTATTTCTGGTTAGTACGAGGAATTGTTTTGATATTTTCAAAGCCATTTCCCCCGTGGAACTTTGACAAATAAGGATCATTTAACAATGTTCTGAAGTAATTAAGTCTCATAATAGTTCATTGCGTGGAACTTTGACAAATAAGGATCATTTAACAATGTTCTGAAGTAATTAAGTCTCATAATAGTTCATTGGCTTGATATTGGGATTTTATAGACCATTTAACAATGTTCTGAAGTAATTAAGTCTCATAATAGTTCATTGGCTTGATATTGGGATTTTATAGACCATGTCTAACTTCAAAAGTGATGCATTTTTCTATCAGTGTGAGGCCCATTGTCTTAGGTTGTCACCATTTGGTTTTAACCTTCTTGTTTGGGTGATATTTTATGGTATAAGCTTTAAATTCATAAGTTGTCTATTCTTCCAAACTCCCTTTCTGTTTCTGCAGAATTAGAACCTAACACTACTCTTGGTCTCCCTTTCCAGTTTTTTTGAAAGCTCATTGGCTTACATCATAGAAACTTTCACAAACAGAGTAAGAAGTCCCCAAAATGAATAAAAATTTCTTGTTAGAGGGAATATTCTTGTGTTTTTCATCAAGCAAGTTATTGTCTTATTGATCACACAGAAACTAGCTTGTTAGAGGGAATATTCTTGTGTTTTTCATCAAGCAAGTTATTGTCTTATTGATCACACAGAAACTACTATTTGTTATTTTTAATTTTCCTGTTTTTCATCAAGCAAGTTATTGTCTTATTGATCACACAGAAACTACTATTTGTTATTTTTAATTTTCCTACATGGTCATAAACAAGTTGCTTACAGCAAGGAGATTTAAACATCTGTTAGAAGCAATATTATATGATAAGGTGCTAACGTGCAGGATGTAATCTGCTCTTTGTTACTTCTTGCGGGACGAAACCTAAACACATGCATGTGAGGATTCAGGAAAAGAGATCAGATGCATATGCATGTCGACATGGCAATTTGATATTTGAGACCAAAACACACCTGCAGCATTCAAATCTATGGACTACAAGGGGATACGCAAAATGTATTGCAAAAGTATCAGTATAACATCATATGAATAAATTGTATTGCAAGTAATATAGTAAAAGATGGAAATATGATTTTATGTTACGGAGCTCATGTGATTTTAAATTTTGTGACATGATGAAAGAAACATATATTCTTCCAACCTTGATAAGACCACTTGCTTTATCCAACTCATACTTAACCTTGCTCCCCTTGTTTATTTCAACCACCTATAGAAATCAATAATAAAGGGTTAAATTAAAAAAAAGGGCAGAAGTTTATTCATGCTTAAAACACAATGGCAACAAACATCTTTAGAAATTTGAATGATCAGATCAAGTTAAGAAACACTTCAGTATTATCGTAAACCGATGCTGATATCTATATGAGAAATCTCATTCTTCAAGTAGAGTCATGAAAATGATGGTCCAAGTTAAGACTCAAAAACCTTTTAACATTAACAAAAGGTCATGAACACAGAGATGGCAAAGCCACCATGTAAATAGGTCCTCAGTTCAGTTATATCATCAGGGAGAAAGAATCTTAAATTTAAACGTATTTATAAAGTAAGAACCGAAACAACCAACTCCTTATATGCTGCATATGAACAGACCCATTAAAGCACCGCAGTATCGGCTAAGAACTGAATTGTGCTGGCCTTTACAATTTAATACCTATTCTTTGACTCTTCTTGTTCAGGCTAGCTCCTTTTGTACCGAGATGAGGATCTCCAGGCCCATTCTAGGTACATCTTTGAAGTAATTATTATATTACAAAACATAATTGATCATTAGGTACTTTTGGTTAGTTTATTATACTACTGACTCTAATAGAGTTCATTCAGGTTTGTTACTGAAGAGTCTTAACTCTCACTGCCCAGTATAGAATCTTGATTTGGGTTCATACAGAAGAACATGGATGCATATTATGTGTGGTTCACACCCCATGTACAATAGATCGAGTAAGAGTCTGAGTTCTAGAGGAAATGTACACTTCTCAATCGATCGAGTAAGAGTCTGAGTTCTAGAGGAAATGTACACTTCTCAATCATTTAAAGCATATATGAATCCTTAAATCATTTGAACACTTGAAAGATAAATAGATACCAATACCCAAAATGATCAACTATAGGAGGACTTACCCTTTCCTCCCTTACACATAATGACTCTCGAGTCCCCAATATTTGCTACTAACAATTTATCCAAAAAAAGGATTGCAGTTGAGGAAGTTGACCCAGCATCTTAGTTATGAGTCGTCTCAGATGCAAAACTTGTTTTATTTGAACATTCGTACAAATTTTACACAAATTGTAATGCAAAATCTAAAAGTTTAAAAGTTCTGCAATAAGAAAACAAAAACATATACCACCGTTGTTCTGAGGACAAAAGTTCTTACAATGAAACACTCCAAATATGCCAACTGTTCTAAAGCATGAATTATATATCTAAGCAAAAGATAAATAAAATTAGCTAAATAAGATTAGTAAAGGAATAGATTGTCAGATTCATGTTTTAGCCATTTGAGATAGATATGTGTCTCAGAAATGTGTTGTTCATAACATGTAGATCATGGTAAATGTTTGATATGAAATTTATGATGAGATCAAAAGATTCCTATCAGATGTTCATTTTAAACCTTATTGGTTGGAAAATATAGTAGTTAGCTGAAAAGTTGTTTTGATTTATGTGTTAATTGCAATTTAACACTTCTTTCTATAGTTATCTGGTAGATTTATGAAGGCATTTACCAGCTAGGATTAATGGTTTATGAGTTCAGCGATAGTCTGTGAAACTTAAGCTCTCTGCTGTAAATACTAACCAATTCTAGGTTCATGCAGCATCCAAAGTAGGAATGAGAATGAGCTATGTAACATGGCTGAATCCGACACTAAGTAATATGTGACATATTTCTGATTCAGAACTGATTTGGCATCAGATATTTCAAATGCTAACAGTTTAATAAACATAAAACTATATCGGAAGTTCTGAAGTAAAAATCCAATTAATTCTCGCATGGTGTTAAAAATTTCCTAATTTCAATACTCTTCTTTCCAATAGCAGCAGTCAGTCCGTTTTATTCCGCCCTTTTATTATAGAGAATATTATTCCCAAGTAGGTGAGACTACACGAGAAGCTTTGTGTCAGTTACAGTGTCTCGAATACCTTTTTGCATTTCTCTGAGAGAGATGGAAACACACGAGAAGCTTTGTGTCAGTTACAGTGTCTCGAATACCTTTTTGCATTTCTCTGAGAGAGATGGAAACAATAATATGTGGACATGTGTATAACACATAGAAACACGAGAAGCTTTGTGTCAGTTACAGTGTCAAGCTGTAAACATCGAAATATATGAAACATATTTATATTAGTAACTACACTGAGATATTTAAGATTCACGAATCTGATACTAAACTACATGTATCAGACTTCTGATACGGGACTGATACAGTGTAGCAATCATGTAATTTAAATGCAAATAGTTTTAGAATCGAGATAAAACTTACTGTGTGTAGACTACTATGAAAAATATCTAAAGTAAGAACCAGAGAACTTCTCATATAGTATCAGACATTTCATCTGTTCAATACTGTTAACCACTTTTAATTTTAATAGCTTCCATTACAGCATCGTTCAGATTTATATTTTCTATGAGAATGTCATTTAACAATGGTGTTTCTGCTACAGTTCAATGCCCATCGTTCAGATTTATATTTTCTATGAGAATGTCATTTAACAATGGTGTTTCTGCTACAGTTCAATGCCAAATTTAAGTCTACTTCTTATTGGAAAAGTATGTCATTTAACAATGGTGTTTCTGCTACAGTTCAATGCCAAATTTAAGTCTACTTCTTATTGGAAAAGTGAATCTTTAAATTTGAAGGGGCAGTGTTAAAGAACAGAAATAGGAAGAAAACATTCAGGGAATTTCTTTTCACTTTAGGGGGTAAAAAGGCCAAATGTTATCATGTGATAATCACATAGTGCATTTTAAGTAGAATTGTGAGCGATTATGTAACAGGAGGTATTAAAGTTATAAGAATTGTAAAACTTTGGGGGTATTTTTTTGGGGGGAAATTAAAAATTTGTATTCAAAGTGAAAATGGGCGAAACTTTAAGGTATTAGAGTGCACTTAACCTTTTCTTTGGCTAAAATGTTGACTTTTAAGTTTGTGTAATTGGATAAGGAAAAGTCCCAATAATTTTTTTGATTACGTGAGAAGTTCTCGTTTGAGATGACAGCTATCAATTTCTTGCGTTCAGTAATCAGAGGACTAAGTTGTGCTAAAGAGAAGGATCTACACTTTTCTTCTTTTCCCTTGTAAAAATAGTGTATATTCTAACTTTTTGGTATGTTTCTTTGGAGCAAAATTTAGGTATTTATGTAAACAAGAACCTCAGAATGGATAACATTCAAGTCTGTGGTTTTGACTAAGACTATACTCTTGCCTGTTACTCATCAAATTTACAGAGTTTGATATATGACCTAGAGAAACAATACCTTGTTGATGATGTTAGTTAGAAAACTTGTGTTGTATACGTATCTATATCTTCATTAATTTATTGGTGAGAAATTGAATGAGTTTCTATTGTTTTTAATTTGGGAAATATGATCATCTCAGCTTAAGTATCCGGAGAGCTGCTTGCAATTTGCATATGGCCCAACTTAAGTCATGAAACATGAGCCTCCCTAAATACACTACATCTGATTATTAATAAAAGCATACCTCCTACAATACTGACATCATCCAAAAGTAACAACATCGAGAAGAGAATGAACTGTAAATACAGATGTCTATATCAACACACTTAAACCATCTTTTCAGAACTCAGTCTCTGATTACTTACCATCTCATGGGATAATCTCTCTCATTTCCCGCTCAAACCTCAAAATGGAATTGCCCCTTTAGCAGGATATGGTTCTAATCTACTTCTGACATGAGATTTCTCTACCAGACTCAGCAATTGACCACTCAAAACCTAAAATTTTTAAAAAATAACCCCATATTTCCCCACCTTCAGAGCTTTCATATCCAAAACCATATCAAGAAATCAATTCCCAAGCACATATAAGATACCAAAGAAGTTATAACTGGAAAACAGAACTAATTTAGGAAAGAAATCACAACCAAAATCAAAAACTGAAAATTTAAAGAACTCAATTCAACTCAACTTACTTTCTAATGTCGTTCCAGCTGCTGTTGGAATATTTAAACCCTTGTCGCTTGAAACTGTAGGAAATCGAAAATTAGGGCAAATTTAGAAGAAAATTAGAGGACTGAAGAACTAAAAGGGGATAGGTAGAGTTAGGGTTTTGTATAAAGGAGTGAAGACGAAGAAGAAATACCTTACTGAATGCCCAAATGCAGAAATCTTTGGAGATGAATGCGGAAATTCTGAAGAAATAGTAATCTGTGCAAATTTCTGTAACACTTCGGCTTCGACGAGGAAGGGTAACCGATGAATAAGCCTCATCTTTGCAAATTCCTGTAACGCTTCGGCTTCTTCAGAGATGGGTAATCGATGATCTCTTCGGCTTTGGCGGAGAGGAAGGCGTAACGGAGGTGGAATTTCCCGATGCTGTTGACGAATTTTATGAAACGATTTTAAGGGAGAAATTGGGTATATTTAAGATGGTTGAAGGTTAATTTGGGGATGAGAAAGTTTTTCAGCAACTGGCTCTTTTAAAGAGTAGATAGATAGATAAGTGGTTCATGTGTGACCCAATAATCCATTTAGCTATTGGACTATTATATATAAAAAAGTTTTAGAGGTCAAATCTAAATTAAAACTAGGATAGGGTATACTATTTTGAAAATCAATTCTTAGAAATTTATTTAAAGTTATCATTAAAACTTACTAAAAATTAGAAAGTCCCAAAATTCATCAAGTAAATTAATTATTAATTAACTCTATCAAGTTGGCAAGTGACAACACTTATAAATGATACATGAAATCTAAAATTTTTCAACAATCCCCTACAAATTTAAAATTTGCAAAACACACCCTTAACAGTTTTAGAAAATGGGGAAAACACCCTCAAGGGTTTAGAATTATAAAAACAACCATAAATTTTCAAAACCTAACTAGGGTACATGAAATCCAAAAATTATCAGCAGCACCTTGTAAATTTATAGTTTGTAAAAAATACTCACAAAATTTAAAAACTTATAAAAAACACCCTCAAGAGTTCAAAATTATAAAATAATTTTAGAATTTTCTAAACTTACAAATGACATATGAAATCTAAAAATTTTCAGCATTCCCCTATAAATATAAAATTTAGAAATAACACCCTTACAGTTTTAAAAATCGCAAAAAATATCTTTAAAGGTTTAGAATTACAAAAAATTACCCTAAAATTTCAAAATCTACAAATGACACATAAAATCTAAAAACTACCAACATCCCCTAAAAAATTATAATTTGTAAGAAACACCCTCAAAGTTAAAAATTGTAAAAAAATGCAGAAAACACCTCAAAGTTATATATATATAATTTGTAAAAAACACCCTCAAAGTAAAAAAATGCAAAAAACACCCTCAAAGGGTTTAGAATTATAGAAACTACACAGAAATTTCAAAACCTACAAATGACACGTCAAATCTAAAAATTACCAGCAACCCCATGAAAATTTATAATTTGTAAAAAACACCCTCAAAATTTAAAAATTATAAAAAACACCCTCAAAGTTTAAAATTATATAAAACTCTTAGAATTTTCTAAACTTACAAATGACATATGAAATTTGGAAATCTCCAACATCCCCTTGTAATTTTAAACTTTTGAGTGTTTTTTTTTGTAATTTTTAAATTTTGAGGGTGCTTTTTACAAATTATAAATTTTTAGGGGGTTGCTCGTGATTTTTGGATTTTATGTGTCATTTGTAGGTTTTCAAATTTTAGGGTGGTTTTTGTAATTCTAAATCCTTGATGATGTTTTTTGTAGTTTTTAAAACTATAAGGGTATTATTTGCAAATTTTAAATTTATAGGGGAATGCTAAAAGTTTTTAGATTTTATGTGTTATTTACAAGTTTAGAAAGTTTTGAGATTAATTTGTAATGTTGAACTCTTGAGGGTGTTTTTTACAAGTTTTTAAACTTTAAGGGTGTTTTTTTGCAAATTATAAAATTTTAGGGGGTTGCTGATAATTTTTGGATTTCCATGTACCTTAGCAAGGTTTTGAAATTTCAGAGTTGTTTTTATAATTCTAAACCCCTGAGAGTGTTTTTCTCATTTTTTAAAACTTTGAGGGTGTTATTCGCAAATTTTAAATGTATATGGGCTTAGTGGAAATTTCATGATTTCATGTGTCATTTGTGAGGTTAGAAAGTTTTGAGAATTTTTTGTAATTTTTAAATCTTGGGGGTGTTTTTTATAATATTTAAACTTTGAGGGTGATGTTTACAAATCTCAAAATTTTAAGGGCTGTTGGTAATTTTCTAATTTTATGTGTGATGGTCATTAGTTTACTTTTAAGGTGTTTTCTATAATTTTAAACTTTTAAAAATATTTTTTGTAGTTGTTGAAACTTTGAGGGTGTTTTTTAAAGAATACTCATCTAAATAGGCGAATGAGCAGGTAATAGCCAGCACATTTATGACCCATTTATCTTTAATAAAAACAATACCCACTCATTTATGACCCATTTAACTAAATGGGTGGGTTTGAATGGTTCATTTAGTGGGTGGGAATGAGTGGGCAAATAGTTTTGGGTCAATTTTGCCATCCCTACTCGGGTGGCTCCCATAAAAGCATCTCAAACCCGAATCCGAATGCCCAAATCCGGATCCGATAAGAGCGAAGGAATCCAACCCGTTACCGTCCCCACACGAAAGCGATGCAGATTAATACCCAGCCGTCGCCGAGACCGAAAGAATAAGCAACCCAAAGCTCGAAATAGAGAAAGCTTACACAAGTACAAATAAATTTATTTTTTTAAACCCCCCCAAAAAAAAAGCCACAATCAATAGTCTCTTCGATTACCACGAAATTGCAGCGATTCAATTTCAATATTCTTTGATTATTATTGCCGTAATTCTTCAGCTATCTGTTCTCTTTCTCCCTCCCTTCCTGTGATCGATTTGTCATCGTCGGCGGAGTTTGGATTTTATGAGTGTCAGGTAAGTTTTGAATTTTTCGCCAATTTAGAGTAGGTTTTTTTTTTCTGTTTCTGATTTTTATAGATTTTTTTGGGATTTTTTTAGTCTGGATTAGGGGTTATTTGAGAAATTAGGGTTTTTTGAACAAGATGATAGCTTTCTAATTTGTTCTATGCTTTCTTGTAGCTTTAGAGCACTCTGTCGCATTCTTATGATTCTCAATTTACTTTGTGCATGATAATAATGATCAGATTAGACTCCAAAGTTGATTCTTTTAGACGTGCAAAATAACAATGCACAAATTGGGTTCCAAAGGTGCACCTTTTAGATACTGCTGAATCGATTCATACGCTGCTACATGTTAGCCGCTACTGGTATCAGAGTTCTATAGTGAAGATGGTAGCTAACAAGAGAGAGGGAGGGAAGCAAAAATAAAGGGATGATTTTGACATCTGTGTTTTCTAGGAAGAACATAATTACTAGAATGAATCGTGGGATACAGATGTTGTATGTGATATAGGTACACTACTTTGTTCTAAAAACTTGTATATATGCATGTGTGTCTATAACATACTCAGTTCATACATTTCCAAATTAATTTTCATGTTCAAGTTACTATATGCAAATTCATCAGTAGAAGAATGTGAATAAATAGTGCAAAATATTTAGATAGATCTATGGGATACAAATTAGTGGATGTTCTAAAGAAAGATCCATCCGTTTCACTTGAATAGAAAAGTTGATAAATGTTTTAAATTAAGTCATCTAACCATTAGACCAAAACTCTGATGTTATGAGGGTTGAGGGTTATAATTTATATTAAGACTAACATGCTCCTGTTGGTTGAACACCCTTTTTATGTGTTGAAATTTGACTTATGCGATAGTGTCAAATTTTAGAAGATCCGCTTTAAATTCGTGATCGGTGGGATTTGAACCTATGTTGCTCTGATCAATGTTCTCAAATGCGCGTGCCTCACTGCGCCTCATGCGCTTTGCTATGTGGGGCTGTGGCGAAGCACCTCGTATTTGATGCAGCAGCGCCTATTGCGCCTCGCCTACATCCTAACTTTGCGCAGGATGCATGTAATACATACCCTCATAGTTTTGTTTGTTACCATTTCAATCGAGTCTTTATACTCGATAATCCATATCCCAAAAAGCAAAATAAATCTATTAGGCCTTTTTAGTGGTCTTCAATTGAGGACCATAACTAATGCTTTGCTTGGATATTAGTCTTGATTTGACATTTGATATGAAAATTTATGAATTTTGCTACTATGTTAGGTATTAGCATTAGAAATTAAGACCTTATATTGTGATTTTGTAGTAAGATATTATTTATCTTGATATATTTTTATGTGAACTCCTAAACATGTTCTTTCATGCTTGATTATGTATCTTGAAAAATTACGTATGCGGTGTGCACCTCGCATCACTCACGTACGCGCATTGGGTTGTGCCTTGCGCATGTGTGCGTAAAGATGCTTTGCCCCTCGCATTGCGCCTCGCACATTGACAACACTGGCTCTGATATCATTTTAAATTAAGTCCTCTGATATCATTTTAAATTAAGTCCTCTAACCATCAGACCAAAGCTTCAAAGATGTGTGTGGGCTGAGGGATATATTTATATTAATTCTAACAAAATGCAAAATAGGTAATATAGTACATATTCAGATAGGGTAGTTACTTTCATATAAATATAATCCTTGCTCTATATATATTAAAATAATATAAATATAAGCATGTCTCTGTTTTTAGATGGTCTCGAGTCCAATTTTCGTTTGACAATTGTAGAAGTTCTTAATATTCATTCTTCATTCAGCAGTTTACGTAAGTTAAATTTTCAAGATTTGATTTGTATATACATGGTTATGCAAAAGTTTTTTCTTACCAATAGAAACTAATTTCTCCAAATATTTATTTTTAGCGTTTCCAAATGCCTAATACCAAGGCATGTGAGTTTCCTAGGTAAGTGAAACTGGTATAAAGAATGTGTTGGAAAAATATCCTAATAGTATAAATACAATTAATGAGAGTCAAAAATCTTTTTCCATTTCGGGAACATTTAGTTTGTTTTTTTTTTCTCTTTGGAGTTATGGTATCTGTATCAGTTGTTGATATTAGTCTCCAACTCAGAAGTCTTGATAATTTCTTTTGCATATCAGGTACTCATACTATGCAACCTAGCATTGCAGTAATTCAATCATTGAGTTCCCCCCCAAATTTAAGAGTTATAAACATGCCAAATATATGGAACTCGTTAGTAAGCATAGTAAATAGCCAGCAGCATTATTTCCCCTCTTTGCTTTGGACCACTTTTTTCTTTGCTGCAATTATCTTTTTGTCCATTCATTTTTAGACTTGGTTTTTTTAATTTTCTTTTTCAGCTATAGCCTTTTCCATCAATATCACATTTCTTTTTGTTCAGGCAATTAAGACGGCTAAGTTCTTCCAGAACTTCTTTTTCCCCCTCCCTTTTTTGCATATGGAAAGACCTTCTTTGGCATACGGTTCATTGTATGTCATTATGTCTTACTTTTACCCTTTTACTTTGTAGTTCGGATGATTAATTAGTGGCATGGGCTGGCTACTTTTTCTTGCTCTGAATTTTTATGAATGATGTCCAGTGTGCCAAAGGGTGCTTTTGCTCCCAGTATATTCAAATGGCACTGGCGAGACAAGTCTTCACTTACCACTCAATTGCTTAATGATGAACCTCCCGAGATAGAATTGTCTGAATACCGAAGGCTGTCAAGTGCTGGTAGTGAAAGCCCATCTGGACTTCTCAACGATGAAGGCCTGAAGTCAGAAACAATTGCTGATTTAGACCTGTTCTTTGAAAGGCTTTATAATTACTATCGGGAGAAAGGACTTCTATGCATTGTAATCAAATGGATAGTAGAGCTCCTAACTGTGATTTTTGTGACCACCTTTATTTGGTTTTTCTTATTGGTTGTTGATTGGCACGCCCTACGCAATGTGAAGTGTGGCATGGAAGCAGTTGAGTCTGGTCAAAAGCCTTGTGATCTGGCAAAGGAGGCGATTAACCATCATCCATTAGTTCCTTTAACGTTTTCGAAAATTGTTATTGTTGGGTCCATGGTTATTTTGATCATCTATGGACTTTTCAATTTTTTAAAGTTCTTTGTGCAGTTCACAAACACACTGAAGGTCCGCCACTTCTATTATCAGAAGTAAGTTAGCATTTTATTTTTGGTGCACACTTTTCTTTTTGGATCATTGATAGCCAGCATTTTGAATATCTTTGGTTTCTTCTCCAGCCTCAATGTTACAGATAGGGAAATTCAAACAACACCTTGGCCAACAATTTTAGAAAAGGTTGTTCAACTGCAGAAGTTGCATCAACTTTGTGTGGTGAAGGATCTCTCTGCACATGAAGTGGTGATGCGAATAATGCGCAAGGAGAACTATTTGATCGGGATGCTCAATAAAGGTGTTCTTGCTTTTCCAATCCGTCATTGGGTCCCTGGAGCTGGGCCAACTGTCAATTCTAGAGCAAATGGAAGGAGAAATCGTTTAATACTACCAAAGACTCTTGAATGGACCCTAAATTGGTGTATATTCAATAGCATGTTTGATAGGTATGCTTCTATCTTCATCATATCTTTAACTAAGGTTTTCACTTGACATTTTAGAATGTGGAATAATGGTTACAGAATATAGCACAATGCATGCATTGAAATTAGTTGGTGACAGTGTACGAAACTAGTTGAGAATGCTTATTTGTTCTCTATTATATATTCGTATCAAACTACTGGGCCATGTCTTTCCACCTTCGTTCCTGCATGTCATATGTTCCTTGATCACATATATTTCCTTATCTTGTCTATCATCTTTTCCTATTATTTTATGCTATATCCTTTATCAGCTATTAGAAGTACTTTATGTTTAATATAAGACCTAAAAAGACCTAAAGACTTATGCTTTGGCCGTCAAATATATAATCCAATAACAGATATGTACATCTCATCTCAAGTTTTAGGAAATTGTCACACCATGAAAGCAAATTCTTCATTATTGAACTCCTTAAAGGAAAACAAAGAAGGAATTATATTGACCGTGTAATTTATTTGGCTTTATTTATTATGCTTCTGATACACTCTGCTTTTCCCCTTGGCGAGCTTCTTCAAGTTTAAATGCTAAGGTTTGGGAGAAGATAAAATTTGACACATTTAATCAGCAATGAACTGGATTTAGATTTACGGCTCATATCATATTCTATACATAAGAGGATTGGATCTGGTTAATAGCTAAGCTAACCAAATATAATCTATGCAACATACAACAGTCCCCTGATTTTACATATATTATTATATGTTTGGTATGACTTGGAAACTAATATAATTCATCTGTCTATCATGTGTGACTAGAAGGGGTGGCCCAAAGGTACGAGAATATATACACAGTTCTTATAATCTCTGGGATTTATACTTTTCATTTAGAAATAGCTTGCATTAGTGTACTGTTTTTTGAAGCTAGGATTCTATTGTGAAAGTAACAATTAGGAGCCTACAATCCTGGCATTTGCATTGGAACAGCAGTAACCCAATGTTTTCATATGAGATTCCCATATTCATGGTGTTATGTTTATTTAATGTGAAAGAGGTAGTTGTTGTTATTTTGATTTATAATGGTTGATTTCCACCCTTGCAGTAAATTCTGTATTCAGAGGGATTTCATCACAAACCCTTCATTACTGAGAAAGAGACTTGTAGTGGTTGGTATTGGAATGTTTCTCTTATCACCATGCCTTGTCATCTTTATGTTGGTATACCTTTTTCTCCGACATGCTGAACAATTTTACAATCATCCAAGCATAGCATCATCTCGGAGATGGTCTAACTTATCCAGGTGGATTTTCCGGGAGTTCAATGAGGTAACTGTTGTCTCCTTTATGAATTAAAGATATAACATCAGATGTTCAATACTTAACCTGCTTCTATTATGCGCTTGCAGCAGTTTCTTCTTTTTCTTATTTAAGGTGTTTGTTTTAGATTTTTGTTATGTATTTTATTAGTATACTATAACTGCATAATTTTCCTCAAAAAGAATATTATAGCTGCAACAGAGGTGATGATTTCATAATTAAAGTATGTATGTACACGTACAAGCTATATTTTCTGTATCCTATATACAATTATTAATGGCATGATAAAGATCATTCATTTCTTGACAAAATTACAGTTGACGCCTAGTATTGTGTAGGGTGCTAACAGTTGAGGGGATTTTTCTCATGACCATTGTTTGAAGTGATCTGCAATATAGTTATTCCTTTTCTCCCTATACTTTAGGTTGGGATTATCGTATAACCTTTCTGTTATATTATAACGATGGATAGTGTTGCCTGTCCAGGTTATTCGACTTAAATACCTTGATACCCCTGAAAATAATAGTTGATTCCTAGTAATGTAGTGTGCTAGTAGTTAGGAGGATTTTTTTATGACTATTGTTTTTGAAGTGATCTGCAATATACTTAATATTTTTGTTCTTACACTTTGTGTTAGCAATATTTGTCTAAGCTCGTGTTTATGTTGGAATATGGATTGAGTTGCTTGTCCAGATTATTTGTCCCAGAAACCTGAAAATCACCGTTGGTTCATAGTAATGTGTAGTGTACTAGCAATTAAGGTTCTCTCTCTCTCTCTCTCTCTCTCTCTCTCTCTCTCTCTCTCTCTAACCATTGTTTCTGAAGTGATCTGCAATGTAATTATTAGTTTTTGCCTGTATATGTTGTGCTGGGAATGTTCATATAAACTTGTTGCTATATGGTAACAATGAATTGTGTTGCTCGTCCAAATTGTTTGTCCAGATACCTTGATATCCCTAAAACTGTGACGTTTGAATGATTAAATTCTTTTGAGTGTGTGTGCGAGCATGCTGGAACATCATATCTGAAAACCAAAGTTTGCAATTTTTGGTCAAAATTTCAGTATATAGTATGTTTCAGAAGTCTATTTTCTTAAGATGTATTGAATACAGTAAAGGGTGTTCTTGCACTTGATACATCAGTTATTAATTATCCTTCTAAATTCTTAGACTTGAAGAGTACATACTGTGCTTGTGGATCATTTAACATCCTCTTTTTTTGTAAATAAACTCACGGAGTGGTTGCTTTCAATTCTTGTCTATATTTACACTGATTCAATACGTTAGTTTCTGTTGGTGCCACTCCCAAGTACCGCTAAGGTATTTCCTTTCCTGGCAATTACCTGAGTTGGAAGACATGAAAAAGCTGAATAGTTTTTGCGGTTACTTGGGCTTAACGATAATGCCTTTTCTTGCTTTGTATGGCTGCAGACATTTATTTTTTTTAAAATTTTTTCTAATCTTATTCATGCTGATACACTTCTTGGAACAATAGATATTAGGCTTTAAATGATCTCAAGATTCAGCTGATTCTTTTATTTCTATTGTTTCCATGTATATTCAGGTCGACCATTTGTTCAAGCATCGCATGAACAATAGTGTGGTTCATGCCTCAGATTACCTAAAGCAGTTTCCGTCACCTCTTATCTCTATAATTGCCAAGTTCATATCTTTTGTTTCTGGTGGCTTTGCTGCAATATTGATCATCATTGCATTCCTGGACGAGTCTCTCCTCGAGGGTCATGTAGGGCTTTGTATAAGGTCACTTTACCTTGTATTTTACCATTCTTTTTTTGGGACAATTTTAGGCTTGACTTTTCATTGGAATTGATTTGCAGATCTTTGGTCGTAATTTATTTTGGTATGCTGCTGTTTTTGGGACTGTGACTGCTTTAAGCCGGGCTGCTGTGGCTGACGAGCTTCAAGTCCTTGATCCTCAGGGGGCAATGTCTCTTGTTTGTCAGCAAACACATTATATGCCAAGGAAATGGAGAGGTAAAGAAAACTGCGATTCAGTTCGGCAAGAGTTTGAAACCTTGTTTCAGGTATAATTATATTCTTTCTTTGTTGTTACCACAATGTGATCTGTTAGCTTACCTACGAAATGTGGCTCTATGTCATGCAATGTTATTGTGAGTAATATTAGGGCAACAGGGATGGATGACACCGTAATACCTGAAATTTTCTAAGTGATAGGCTGTTTACTTGGGCACAGGCCATAGTAAACAAATAAGATATGTTATTGTTACAGATATGTTGATATGTCAGGCCCGAGAAAGTGAAGGATATGTGCACTCTTTGGAACAAAATATAATACACATGAAAATTCATGTTGACAAGTTAATGTGTTAAGGTTAGGATATAGTGGTGCAATCACACAAATGTAAACATGGATGTCACCTTTACTCTGCATGAATATCAAATATTGGATTATGATAACTTAATCCTAGTTTTGTTGCATAAGACAAGATCCACATTTTGAACTGCTTTTTGAGCCATGTGAATGACGTCCATTAGAAGAGTTCATGTCTATAGCATCCTGTATCAAGATATATCCAAGTTTAATGACATGCTTACGGAAGTATAATGCTAATGGTTTTTTCTCACATGAAAAATCATATCCAATGCATAGGAGGTCTTTTTTTTAGATATAGTAGTTGCGTGCCAAAAGAGTCAAAAACTTAAATTTTATGTATTTTAATATTGAGTTAATGCTCCAGATGTGTCCTATGTGTACAAGGAGTGTACAAGTATTGTTGCATCAGTATGTGGTGCATTTTCAACGTAGATGAGGCTTCATAAAGTGATCATTTGTTTGAAACTGAAATCAGAAATCAACAGTATGCGCCACTTGCTAGTAACCGTTGCAAATATATAGTCACTTTCTGCAGTATCCTTTCCCCTTCCTTTTTAAGCTCATGACAGCTTCAATTTAAATAATATTCGTGGTTCCGCAGGAATAGATATTCAAAATTTTCTTGATATGGAGGGTGTTGAATTACTTTAAGTGAAGGCAATGGCAACGTAGGACAAACACCTTACTGATGGGTATTTGACCCAAGCCATAATTTTGGATACAAGTAAATCATCGCACTTATGGTTTCACTCAAGGTTTTAAATGTCGGATGTCGGGATCATGTCGGACGGCTGAAATCCATGTCGGATAGCAGAAACCGGGGATATATCGGGAGACATTGACTAAATATCAGATTGTCATATCGGATGGTACTCATATGTATAATATCATGTCCTAAATGTAATCTAAGTATTCCTAAATTCAATATAAGCATACTTTATAATGGTTTCACTCAAGGTTTTAAATGTCGGATGTCGGGATCATGTCGGACGGCTGAAATCCATGTCGGATAGCAGAAACCGGGGATATATCGGGAGACATTGACTAAATATCAGATTGTCATATCGGATGGTACTCATATGTATAATATCATGTCCTAAATGTAATCTAAGTATTCCTAAATTCAATATAAGCATACTTTATAAATTCTAGAGGCGACGCCGACAATGGGTGGATTCCGACGTCACAGGGAGGCAGAGCAGGCGACGGGACGTCGCAGGGAGGCAGTGTCGGGGCTCTTCTTCTTCGTCTGCTCGGGTTCCTTCGGATGAGTCACCGACCACCCTCTTCCCTTTATCCCGACGATGGGATACCCTGCCGCCCTCGGGTTCGATTGGGGTTCGGATTTCGGGGCGCAACGGGAGATGGACGATGGGGGGCCGAGATTGAGGTGGGGAAAGGGCGTCGTCGTTCATGAAAGGAGTGATGGGTTCCCAAGTCCACTGCAGCCGTAATTTTTCTCTTTTCTTTCTATCGGGTTTATAAGAAGCCCTTAAACATGAGAACAGGTCAAACGGGTTTGAGTTTTTATCACTAAACTCAAACTCGATAACAAAAAATAGATTAAAAAAAAGGGTCATATTGGCCGATTTTTGAAAGCTGAAAAATCAGTCGATATGCTTGATATGGCCCCGATATTTCCGATTTTGCCCTGAAAACCGATATACGAGTTGAAAACGCCCATGTCGTGTCGCTCAAGCCTTCAAACCGACATGTCGGCCTACATTTAAAACCTTGGTTTCACTTTATTTTGAAGTGTGCGTAATGATTTAGGAGGATGTCTAAATCTGTAATGTAACTTGAAATGAAACTTTCTTCAGGCACTAAGTAATTTTTTGTTCCTTTTATCGAATCTTTCCTCTTCTTGCCGGATATCTCGTGCAACAATAAAGTTACGAAAAACTTCAAGTTGGTAACTGACCTATATACTGCTATGGAAACAAGATTTCTGAAATGGAAGCATCAATAGTTCAGAACATAGATATGACTGACACATTTCCATTATTTGATCATGTGATTTCTTGTCTAAGATTCTTCTTTTTATGATCAATCATATCATATGTCCACCTAATTCACAACTATCCAGGCAACAACCTGATCCAGGCTTTGATATCAAATAATATCAAATAAACTAATCCCCCCCATGTACTTTTCGTTAATTCTTACTCTGTTGCAACTGTCTGAAAAAAATATTTGCTCTCGTTGAGAAGCATTAATATCTGTTATTTCCTTTTCTGCTATCTTTTTCTTGTTTTGTTTTGATGAAGGGATATTTTACTCGTTTTAGGTATGTTTTACTTTTCCACTGATAGTGCAGTTATAAATGGTCTGATGCAAGTTGCAAAATGCAAGGCAATTATGCCCAAAAGTCTTGTGGTTTACAACCAAATAGTCTTTACTATAGTAATATGCATCAAACTTGGCCACATAATATTTCTTGACAACTATTAGGAAATGGCGAAGGTTTAAAGCTTGAAACAAGTCATATCCCGTTTGCGAAATCTCAATTGTATCTCTAGAGATAAGTAAAGTTAAAGACAAATACAACACTGACGACAAAGCTTTTATCCCTGTGGGCTTGCTACATGAATCCCACTCTTCCATTCAATGCTCTTGAGGGATATCTCCTCTATTAAGTTAATCATCGCCATATCCTTTTTAACAGCTTCCAACCAAGTACTCTTAGGGCTGCCTCTAGTACTCCTTTCTCCATTAACTAGTATCGTCATTTCTTCTAATTTGTGCATTTAAGGGTCTTCATTGCACATAAGCAAACCATCTCAAATGATTCTTCTCTCTCATTTTATCCTCAATAGAAGTAACCTCTCTGGTTTCTACAAATGCAATCATTTCTTATCCTCTCTTATAATGAAGGGAAAAAGAAGTTTTGAAAGCTGTTAGTACATGTATATCTAAAACATATGGGTCCTGTTGCAGTGATAGTTTAGCCTTGAATTGTTGAATCTAAATAATTAATATTCCATTTGGTAGCAGTTCTAAAAAGACAAAGGATATGCTATCAAATACATGCTCTAGACTGAACTGGATGTGCTCTTTAATTTCTTTTTCTTCCTGGAACTATTGGATTTATTACTAGTTGCTTTATCAAATACTCTTGCACATAAGGGTATAAAACTCAGCATGGATGTGATGGCAGCTCCTGTTTTATATGAATATCCAAATTATGCAAGTAAAACACAAGATGTCTGCATCATCATCAGCACTTGTCAGTAGGCTCTTCACCAAAAGAAATGGAATATTCCAGATATAGAAGACTTAAATATAACTTGCAGTTTGAGAGAAGCACTTATTTGTTGATGTGAAAATTCTCTGTATGCTCTTCTGCTATTGTTGAATTCATCATTACAATCTTTTGATTTTAGCAAGCAGTTGTTTCCTAGACAATGGTTTGGATAAAAAAATAATTTAGATTACTCCTGGAACTTACACTGGTGATCTTGCATATCTAGATGCTAGTTGCTATTATATTAATTTTCATGTAAGACCTTAACAAGACTTTCTACTATTGCAGTACACTGGAATGATGCTTCTGGAGGAGATGGCCTCAATCCTTGTCACTCCTTACTTGTTAATTTTTGTCGTCCCGAAGGTAAATCTTGGAGCAGTTTCGAAGATATTCACGTTATCTAGCTATATGCAGTTTATGTATCATGTGACCTTTTTCTAATTTTACAGCGTGTAGACGATATCCTGCGCTTCATCTCAGACTTCACAGTGGATATTGAGGGTGTTGGTCATGTTTGCAGGTTATTCACTTGTCTACCACACCCAAAGATTTCTTTCTATTTTGTGCTTGTTCCTGTTTGATACATTGTATCAATCTGTCGACTTAAGTCTTTTTCCCTGATGTCTTTTGTAGCTTTAGTGCATTTAACTTTGAAAGCCACGGAAACAAGAAGTATGGTTCGCCATTTGACGCACCAAGAGAAACGAGGAGTTCCCAGGGTAAAATGGAGAAATCATTCTTGAGGTATGTATGCTGTCAATTCAAAATCCATAATGGCACCTTTTTAGATTACACAAGTTCAAATCTTTTGTTATCTTTGCCATTACATGATCTTACTCCTTTATACAGCTTTCAAAGCGCATATCCATCCTGGGAACCAAGCATTCATGGTCGGAAATTCTTAGCCACACTTTGCAAGTTCAAGGATCAACAAGTGCAACAAAATCTCCATCGTCATAACTACCCTTCACCAAGCCAACCCTGGGAACTTGCCCAAAGTTCAAGAACCCAAAGTGAAATGTTCCACAGATATCCCCCAAAGGATATCCTCCTCAATATCGTCAATATACCTGATCAAGATGGTATCCACCAACCATATATATTGGATTTATACTACACTTCATCTAAAGACTGCACACCCTTATCCCAAGAAACAAAACCCTTTGAGCCAATTATGGACCAATTATGGGCAAAGGAAACTGATGGTAATATAGTTGCAGGAGGAGAAGTTTGGGGATCTAGCAATATCCCCGAGAGACTTCAGTCTCATTTAGAGGCATCCACATCGAGCCCTCTCCTCAAAGACGGCAGTTCTCATCCATGCGATCCAGCGCTTGGGAATCCATGGTGGGCCCGATCCGGGCCCCACTCATCGGCACATGTCGCCAGCTTTCTCGAGCCGCCTCCTGTTTTTGGTCACCGTAACGCAAGTTACCACAGTGAAAATGCTTCAGAAAGAAGCTGGGGAGAGCAAGAAGCAGATGATGGTCGAGCTAGAGACTGGAGAAACCGTAGCTCAATGTCGAGGACTAATTACATGGACGATGATGATGGCTTGGATCATGATGATGATGGGTTTGACCTCCACTTTGCTGATGATATTGAGAGGAACGTTGGGGGGAGCAGCGGATTTGGGAATCCTTTGGTTAGTCTTCCTGTAAAGATTTTGCCCAGGAGCAATGATCCCGTGCAGTGAAAGGAACAATTTGTAATTGTTGACTTTGGATTTATTGTTACGTCGTAGGATACCATTCTTTCTGTACATAAATTCATCAACTGTTTATGAAAACGTATGGGTGTTGGCTTCATTCTCTCATTTTTATATTGTCTGCAACGTGAGAGTTAGCTTTTGCTGTCAATCAAACGTTAAGAGATGTTTTAAGACGCTATCTTTCATTGGCAAATCTAAAGTAGCTCCGGTTGCGTCCAAGCCTCACCAATGCTCACCAATGCCCAAAATTTGACCATCTGTCTGACAATCATTTCACAACTAGATCAGGATCGGTTCTAGCCGAATTTTGAGAACCAGTTCTTTTTGTTATCTGAGGGAGGAGGGGTGGGGCGCTAGATAAAAAAAAGAACATGTTTAAGTTACTATTTTTGGCATAGGAGAAACCCAGCCAACTCTGGCATAGTTTTCCCCAATCAGGGTTTTTACTCAAAATTGGGTCAGATTTAGTTCTAGCCTCATTTTTTGAGGTTGCCAAACAAGCCCTATGTTTTAAATGTAGGTTATGACTGATGCAATTTTTAATTAACTAGACTGGAGTTAGTCCATACGGAGATTGGTCCAATAGAAAACTAGTTTAGAGGCTAGAAATTGAGCTAAAGAAGAAAATTTCTAAATAAACCCATTTATAATTTTAATCTCAAATTTCGACCATATTCAAACTTTATTACGAAAATCAACCAATTTTCTCGTCACGTCAAAATCGCGGTCAGAAAGTGGATCGATTTTTTTTAAATGCGATCCTAATAAGTCGGGGTGGGCAACCCCAACTATTTTGGACCTCGCCGACAATTTGGCAACCTAAATAGTCAGGGTTGGCAACCTCGACTATTTTGGACCTTCGACAAAATAATGACATGAGCTCGAATTAGGCATTTCGAAATGGTCGGGGTTCCCAACCCCAGAACCCCGACCAATTTAAATAAGTGCTAAATTAGTCAGCGTTTCGAACCCCGACTAATTAGGTTGCCAAATTGTCGGCGATGTCTAAAATAGTCGGGGTTGCCAACCCCGACTAATTAGGATCGCGTTTTAAAAAAAATCGACCAACTTTTTGGTCATGATGCTAACGTGACGAGAAAGTTGGTTGATTTTCATAATTAAGTTTGAAGTGGGTCGAATTTGGAGAATAAAATTAAGAATGTGTTTAGTTTGAAAATTTCTTCTTGAGCTAAATAAAACTAGTTCAATTTTGGCCAAATGGATTAGCAAGAACTTTATGGTTTTCTATCATGTTAGACCCTATTTTCTTTGTAAACTGTACGTTTGACGTCCGCATCATCATACAAGTAATATGTACCTCCATATATTTTTAGTTGAAATAACGTTATTAAAATAGAGTTTTGTCATATTAGACCCTAAAATCTTTCTTAATTTTGTATTATAACTCCAAATCTTCATATTTATAAATGAAACCCCCTGTCAACCCAAAAGTTTATTAATTCCAAGCGCTTAGTCACACTGGGGTAACAATTATGAACAGATTGAATACAACCAAGGAATTGCAAGCCAGACGATCTGACTGCGATATTTATTTGAGTCGTGTTAG